ACTGAAACTGTATCTATCTAGTCTTCAACTCCATCAAAGATCTCAGAAGGATATAGTACCTGAATGAACAGGAAGTACAGTGCAAGCCACTTCCAAAACTAAAGAACTGACAGGCATCTGACTGCCTGGCCAGTCATCCAAGGTTCCCCTACAATTTTGAGGTAACTAATCTTTGTCCTATAGGCCTAGAGTATCTGTCAGACTTTTCTATGAAGTGGGAATTCTAAAGGACTGTCTGCCTTGTTTTGGCAAAGTTTAGCATTTTTTTCCCTTTCTATCCTGCTTGTCCACTTTGTACAGCATACTGTCAGCTGTCAGGCAAGGCAAGAAGAGTTTCTTTACTCTATGACTAACTTTGCCATAATAAAAGCAAACTCCATATGGAGGTCTTTCAATGCCCATCATCTTCTCTGAAGTAAATCAGTGCTGCCAGGAGCAGACATGTCTCACTGTCATGAAAAGCCCTGGGTTATTAAACATCTAAAATGTCATATTCTGTAGGTCTGTGAAATGTTTGAAGACCATCTATCTAAAATATATCTGTTTAACCTTGAAAACATAACTAACACAACTATAAGTTTGATTATTATAGATGACTAACTGCTAATCTGCATTCTTAAATGAGTTACATAAGCACAATATCCCAAAAGAGAGTAGAAAGATAAACTGTATATACCTATAACAAAATAACTTTAAATTTATATAACAAATACATATGACTACATACCAGAAGAGGGTATCAGATCCCATTATAGATGGTTGTGAGACAACAGATGGTTGCTCAGAATTGAACTCAGGACCTCTGGATGAACAACTAGTGCTCTTAACCTCTGAGCCATCTCTCCAGCCCTTGATTTTTTTTTTTTGAGACAGGGTTTCCCTGTGTAGCTTTGGAGCCTGTCCTAGAACTTGCTCTGTAGACCAGGCTAGCTTTGAACTCACTGAGATCTGCCTGCCTCTGCCTCCCAAGTGTTGGGATTAAAGGTGTGTGCCACCACCACCTGTCTACTAAACTCTATAACAATACAAAATATTTGAAGTTAATAGTTGTCTTTTATCCTATATCTCCACTAAATAATGATAAATATCTATAACCCACCAAAAATGACCAAAACCACCCACTCTACCTCTTGGGAATGTGAGCATTGTATTCTCTAAACTGCTTCTGTTGTCTGTGGACAAAGGAATCTCTAGTGAACCTGAGAAAACTGAGATAATAGTCAAGTTTTAAGGAAAGCACAAGGCTTATCTGCAGTCCTGGCTAGAATAGCCTGTGAGGCCGGATCATCTCAGCCAGCCGTGAAGCTGTTCTAGATGCAGAACTCTTAGGAAACTGCATCAGAGGCATTCTGAGATGCTGAGTCACTTGAATCACTTATTTTCATTGGTATCTAGTTCCTTTGCTCTGAAAACACACAGACTGTCAAAGGTGATATACATACCTGCATTAACACAAGTATAACTATGCATTGCACACAAGTCAGTCAAAGATAATTTTTTTTGCTGTTGTTTTATGTTTGAGCATGTAAAATATACATCACCTGCCTTGTAGTTTTTCTAGGTTTAGTTCTTTATATCTGTAGCCAGGATTTTCAGGGGGTCTTCCTCAATCAAAATTGATCTCTATCAAATGTGAATGAATCCACAGTCTTTCATTTGCTGTGGAAATAAAAGCATAACCTCTTCCCCAAAGCAATACATTTTTTGATTTCCATTTTAAAGCTAAGGCATTCCTAAAGTATATAGGCTGGTTTAATTCAGCAATCCCTTTCACAATCCCATGTCTCCCAGAAGCTGTTGTTTGCTTATCAGCAACAAAAAATTCAAAGACAGCACAATAGTACACAAGAACCAAACGCCCTGAGTATTTCCCAACTCTACATAGCTTATTTTATTATTATTATTATTTATAAACTATTTACTTTTTTCTATGACTGAATATACATTTTCTTTTCTTTCTTAAGCCTATGCACATTTTAAACATACTGTAACCTGTTTAGAGGCCTTTTCCATCTGGATCTGTCTCTACTGTGTATCTCTATCCTTTTCTGTCTGCACAAGCAAAATCTTAAACTGCTAAGCTACCGTTGGGTCCTCTGCTGCAGCCTTGGCAGCTGGTTCCACCCTGCCTGGATTTGTAAGGTCACAGCCTTAAGCTTGCAGACCCAGTCTGGAGGTGTGTGACCAGGAACTCCATTCAAGCCCCCTCAGCTCTGAGAAATGGGTATCCTGCACTGTGGCAGGCATTTTTATTTAGCTTTTTGTTTCTCCTTAATGTACTAGCTGTGTAAGTGCTCTGTTATATGGCAGAGCTTCTTAAAGGAACGGTATCCTTTTTTCCTCTCTCTCTCTCTTCTTTAACTTTCTCAGGCCCTATGTGAAAATTCAGGCCTCGTGTTAGAATGCCAAAATGTACCATGCTTTTTCTTTTAGGCCACCAACCAGTTCCCAAATCATAACATGGAGACTTCTTATTAGTTATGAATGCTTGACTTAGCTTAGGCTCATTTCTGGCAAACTCTTTTAACTTAACCCATTTCTTTTTAGCCACCTTTTGTGTCAGGGCTTTTTACTTTTCTTGCCTTCTGTATATCTTACTTTCACTGCTCCTTGTGTCTGCTGGCTGTTGGCTGCCTGGTTTCTTGCCCTGGCATCTCCCTAATTCTCTATTCTTTCTCTCCTCTAATTTTCTAGATTTCTCCTCCTATTTATTCTCTCCGCTAGCTAGTCTTGCCTATCCCTCTTTTGCCTAGCTATTGGCTGTTAAGCTTTTTATTAGACCAATCAAGTGCCTTAGGCAGGCAAGGTGAAACAAGAGCAACACATTTTTACAAAATTAAACAAATGCAGCATAAACAAAAGCAACACATCTTTGCCCAGCTAAAATAATATTCCACAACAAGAAACCCTAAGACAGGGTTGTTTGATTAGAAGCTTCACCCCAACCACTGATATCCTTATACCCAGAGAGTCTGGAATGTTTGGGTTAAGGCTTCACCCCAGCCCCTGGGCATCCCTATACCCAAGGAGTCTGGAATGTTTGAGCGGAAAGTTCTACCCCAAGCCACCTCCCCTAGGAGTTGCCGAAATCCAGACTCCACCTCAAAGAAAGCCCGCCAAACGGTGACCCCTCCCCATAGAGGGTCAAGACCACTCCCACAGGCTATTTAAACTGCCTCCCAGAGACCAAACAATTGGTTTCCCCATCTTCCTTCTCTATCTCCATTCCTAGGGGGGCCTGGAATGCCACCAGGGAGTGCTGGCATCCATTAAATCTGGGCTTTTTCTAATTTGGTTTGATTTGGTCTGATTTGAATTATTGTGTTGGCAGAGAGGCTTATCAGGCAAGAAAAACTTCAAGTGTGTGTGTGTGTGTGTGTGTGTGTGTGTGTTATGAGCATACATGTTCCTTTGGGCTCTGAACCCAAAGGAGAATTCTGAGGTCCACCATTCTCCCCCTTGTTGCCTTGTATATTACTTTGCTTTTTACTGTTTAATAAAGGTCATGACCAAAGGCAACTTGAGGAGGAAATGGCTTATTTCCCCTTAAAGTTTATAGTCCATCATAAATGAAAATCAGGGGAGGAATTCAAGGCAGGAACTGGAGGCAGGAAGTGAAGCAGAGGCCATGGAGTAGTGCTGCCTACTGGCTTGCTCTCCCAGGCTCTCTTAGCCTGCTTCCTTGTACCATCTCGCACAGCATGAACACAGAGGTGGCACCGGCCACAGTGGTCTGGACCCTCCCATAGAAATCATTAATCAAGAAATGCCCCACAGGATTGTCAGCAGGCCCCAATCTGATGAGGACACCTTCTCAGTTGAAGTTCCCTTTCCCAGATGACTCCAGCTGGAGACAGAATCTCAATGAGCTTTGAGTCGGGATGGAAGTCAGCGAGTTCTAGCTGTAACTCCTGGCCTCTTCTCTCCACAGCATGGGGGTTACTTCATGTCTGGAACTCACTCGGTAGACCAGGCTGGCCTCAAACTCATAGATCTGCCTGCCTCTGCCTCCTGAGTGCTGGGATTAAAGGCATGTACCACCACTGTCAGCCTCATGTCTGGCCTTTAAAAAAAAAATCTCTTATTGGGAGAGATGGCTCAGAGGTTAAGAGAATTGCCTGCTCTTCCAAAGGTACTGAGTTCAATTCCCAGCAATCACATGGTGGCTCACAACCATTTTTGATGAGGGCTGGTGCAGGCATACACGCAGACGGAATATTGTATATTTAATAAATATTAAAAAATATTTTTTTAATGTGGATGATAGGGTTTGAACTCAAGTCCTGACGATTGCACAGCAAGCAATATTACAAGTGAACCTATCTCCTCACCTCCCACTTTTCATTACTTTTTCAGGCAGTCTCTTGTATTCGTGGCTGGCCTCAAACTAGCTATGTAGCATACTAGCTCGTAATCATCCTGCTTCTATTTTATTGTATGAGTGCTTTACCTGTATGTATGTATGTATATTAAGAGCGTGTGTTGCAGAGGTCAGAAGATGAGGTCGGATACCCAGTGCTCTAAACCGCTGAGCCATGCATCCTGCGTCTAGAAGACTAGAGAACAACTTGTGAGAGTCGGGGGGGGGGGGGGG